GAATTGAGAAAGGGGAAGAAGTGTTAAAAGATCATGTTGAAAATTTTGAAGTATCCATACTAATTAAAGAAAGTTATGAGAAAAAGGGGGAAGAGAGAGTTTAATATGATTTATTGGATTGAAAAGACTGAAGGTATAATTGGTGAATAAATACGAATTACTTAGAAAATGAGAGGTTATTAAAGAAATGATAGAAGAATATATTGAAAGATAAAATGTCATATAATGAATCAAAATATTGAGAGATTAAAGAAATAAAGAACATAGAGAGACTTATAATACAAAACGATAGAGGTGAGATATCAAAAGGAATCAACATAATAGAAGAGATAGGCAGAAACAATTACATCACACTAATAGGAGGGACATGATGATAACATGAGTAAAAAAAAAAGAGATGACAATTATAATAAAGCTTATGGATTTTTATTTTGACTATATTTTAGTAGTTGAAATTTTCTTTAATTATTTTGTTGGGGTAGTTTTATTTTAGTGGTTACACGTAAGGAAATATAAATAGGGGGAAATAAATATAAAGAATGGTGATAGTCAAATTGTACGAAGAAATTTATATTTTAAAAAAACAAACATTTTAATGAAGTTTTTTGCAATTTAGATCACACCGACGTAGAAAGTGAATTTAAGACTTTCCATATCGGTTTAGTTGGGAACCGATGTAGAAAGTTTTTTTGTCAGACTAAGAAAATTGTCACTAACAGGATTCGAAACCAATACCTTAGAGTTGAATGTCGATACTCCGACCACTAAGTTACTAGACTTTTCCGATAAAAACTTACAAATAAATTATATTTATATACAAATAAATGTATATTCGTGTAAATATATAAATATAAAATATATAAATACAAATATATTTATATATTTTGATATATTTATATAGTTATATATTTACATATTTATATGTTGGATGTCGATGTCGCGCTTGAGGGTGAAAGTGTGTGTCAAGTGAGTTTTTAAAATTTAATGTCAAATTTGTGAACGAGTCTCTTTATATGAATTTGTAATTTAATGATAGAATATAATCTTTATAATTTATTTATAAAATGATATAGAATATAATCTTTATAATTAATTTATATAATGATATAAAATAAAGAAAAAAATATATATTTTATATCATTATATAAATAAATTATAAAAATTATATTCTGTCATTAAATTATAAACTCATAAAGAGACTCTGCTCACAAATTTGACATCAAATTTTTAAAATTCACTCGACACACACTTTCACCTTCGAGCGTGCCCTCACATCTAATATATAAATATATAAATATATTTATATTTATATTTATATATTTTTTATTTATATATTTACATGAATATACATTTTTATTTGTATATAAATATAATTTATTTATAAGTTATTATCAAAAAATTCTAGTAGCTTAGTGGTTGAAGTATCGATCTCGATTTTAAGGTACTCGAGTTTGAATCTTGCCGATGACAATTTCCTTAATCTAATAATAACTTAAATTTTTTTAAATATAAAAGGGAGGGTGACCCATAATTAGATAAATAGAGAGGGGATATTAATAAATAAAAATATTAGATTTCGATTCTTTACAACTGATATTAAAAGTCTATTTTCTACTAGTGATGTTTTAAATCATATTAGAAATAAAAATTGTTTGTGAGGAATCTTTAGACTTCGGTTCTTTACAACCGATATTAAAATCCTATTTTCTATTAGTGATGTTTTAAATCATATTAGAAAAAATTGTATATGACGAATCTGTAGACTTTCTACGTCGATTCCTTTTAATCGATATTAAAAACCTATTTTTTATTAGTAATGTTTTAAATCATATTAAAAATAAAAATTGTATGTAACGAATCTTTAGTTGAAATATATTGTATTTTAGATATGGAGTTGTATACAATGAACCCACATGATGTTTAAATGACTCATCACGTAATTAGATGATAATTTAATTGAATCGAAGAATAATCATTTACATCAGAAAACTATATATTATTTATAATATTATTGATTTTTTAAATTTAATTTATTTTATTATTTTATTTTTAAAAGATATTTCGATAAATTAACATGTATTTATACCTTGATATCAAATAAGACTTATGACTATTATCAAGAGATAGTGCGAGGAACTAAAAAATTATGTTCTCCATAATGTTAATATTTCCCCCTCAAATCCTCTAGTATAAATCGTAAAGTCAATTTTAAAAGAAACTTGTAATTTAGAATTAGTTACTCTACCACAACAATCATACATTACTCCAAATGTAAAATGAGCAAAGCAATATGCACGTACAAACAAAACTATGGTAGCAGATAATATAATATACGAAGCTTAAAAATTACATCATATGGAGTACTAGGTCCGTCAACAACTCAGCAAACAAAACAAACAATTATGCACTCACCGGTGATGAACCTTCACGGGTGGTGAACCTTTATGGGAGATAAGGATTACGACCCCTAAACTTTTATAATTAATATTAGCATTTATGTTTTTTTTCTTCTTATTATTTTTAAAATTGAGTGACTTTCATTATTATTTATAATTTTAACTCTCTAAACTTAATAATTATTAAATATATATAATTATATATTTATAAATTTGACATCTTATTTTTTTTATATTTTTTTATTTTTTTATATTTATTTATTAATAATATATTATGTGACTAATATAAATGGTTAAAATCCACCATTAATACTTTGACATAATCAACAAATAGAAAATGATAAGAATCAACCAACTTGATCAAATTTTAGATCTTCATGTCAGACCTTTAACAGGTGACTCATATAAATCATGCTATATATGTCATGTATTATCACATAAATTATTTGTTTTGATTAAAGAGAAATAAATTACCCATAGAAAATATATAAATTGGGGAAAGAAAAAGAAGTTACATATACTTCTTGATAGCTAATGTGATATTTGTAAAATAAAAATAAAAATATAGAATGTGTACTAATTATATTGACTTTAAGAAGATATGTATAAAAGAGTCATATACCCATTGTCGAAATATATCAGCTTGTTGATAATTCATTTAGGAGACATTCTCAATTTCTTAGATTCATACTCCAAGTACAATCAAATAAGAATGTCCCCTCTTTGTAGGAAACGACGTTCATCGTAGATGGCACTAATTTTTGTTATATTATAACGCCCTTTGTTTGAAGAATGCAATACGATTGATGGATATAATCTTTAAAAACCTTATAGGAGATACGATGAAAGTATAAATAGCAAAACAATCATCAAAGACATTTACAATATGTATTTGATGAGATCTGATATGCATCTAACTTAGAAAAATAAATGTTCTGAGTAACAGAGAAAATTCATAGATTTTATGATTACCAAAGGACATTGAAGTAAACTAATATAAGTTTAATATCATACTTTCTTTGCAAAGTCCTCAGGTTGTTAAAAAAATAAAAGTACAAAAGTTAAATAGAAAACTCACTGTCTTAGCACGAATTTTACCTAAATTAACCCAAAAAGCTAAATCAATTTTTTGTTTGCTAAAAAACTCACAAAAGTTTGAATGGAACAAAAAATGAAAAATGTGTTCGAACTCATTAGTTACTGCATCCTTAACAACCCTAATCAGTCCCCTATGGGCTCCACTTAACATATATACCTTGTAGAAGTTCAGTTTGCCATTGACTTCATGTTACTACCGATAATATTGATTATTTTCATTTTCGTACAGAAAATCAAATATTTTATTTTTAATGAAGGTACAAACTAAAGTGAAATATCTTAAGGATATATATATTGATGTTGTTAAATTTGTAATTTTAGGATTTAGAAATGTAAAACTCAAATTGAAACTGAATTAAAAAATTTAAATCAAAATCAAGTTATAAAGATTTAGATCTATTTTAAATAATTAACTAGTTTAATTAATCAACTAATAAGTTATATGAATTAAATCAAAATATCATTTAATCTAATTTATATTTAATAATGAAATGAAGATTCAATTGTATACTATTAAGCATGTTTTTATTTATTTTATATGCGTATTTTAATTATTTATATATAATGTTAAACAATAGGTACACCCAGTTTTGGATAGTGAAATACCTAATTTAATTGAATGGTAGTTTGGATTTTAAAATCATTCATGGTAAACTATAGTAATTGAGAAACCTGTATCATCTATCTATCTTGAGAAAGAGTTAAGGGACGATTCTATTAATGCATGCAATGTCCAGATATAAACAAGTGCTATTTTCCTTAATTAGGAGTTTCTGAACCCACTTTCCACGGTCTTATCTTATTATTCATTTTGTTCCAACAAATTCAACCGTACCTTGAAGTTATGGAAAGTGTTTTTGTTTAACAGCAAAAGAAGAATAAAACATATATTAAAAATGGTTACAAGGGGTACCCTAACCCTAATCTCTTGCAAAATACATAACCCTGTCAAACCAGAAAACACACATCATGATGCAATATACATTTGGCCCCTACAAACAGTCAGACACATCATTTAAATTGAATTAGCTCAGCTACATATTCAATGTTAGGTTATCGTGTTTAAACTACATATTCCACTAAATCTTCGTAATTGTAACAACCAAGCAGGAACAGCATCATAATATTCAACTAATCTTTGTTTTTTAATTGATCTTATCCGTGGTTTGATAATAAATTTGGAATACGAATAATATTTATCCTTTTTCAAAAGAACAAATATCTTTGATAAATTCATTTGAAATTATTGTGGTTGCTTTATCCAAGAGAACATTATAGGAGGACCAGAGGACATAAATCCAAAAGCAGTGCACTCCAATCGCCATGGAACACTTGCCTGTTTCTAAATATACTTGAGTCTAACCCTATGAAGGTTAGTTACACGAGATTCTCATTCCGCGTCTATAAAATGAGGGTTGGGTTTTAGCAAACACTCAAGGCAAGTAGAGAGATAAACTCGTGTGACAAGCTAATAAGATTCTTAATTTCCTCAACCAAATATCCACCATGTCTGGTTTCTTGGGCAACCTCTTTGGTTTGGGTGGAAACAATGGCACTGAGAACGCCTTCAAAAACTCGGGATCAGGCGGACAAGACTTCGACAATGGAGAGTTCAACACTGGTGTACAAGTTGCAAGGGGTAGACGCGCACCTTGCAATCGTAACAATGGCACGAAAGATGCTTTTAACAACTCTGGTTCAGGAAAGCAGAATTTCGGAAGTGCCAAGTTCAACACTGGTGCTAGGTACGAGTAAATTAAAAGCTCTCGTTCTGAGGGCATTAAAAATAATATGGGAATAAAAAGTGCTCACTTTGTGGGCCTTTCTGTAAGATGTATCTGATCATATCCTAATAATCGTGATGCTGCGGCAATAGCCCTTTGTACTGTAATGCTGAACTAATCCAAGTATATATACGCTTTTATCTGTTATATCTTATCTCATGAGTACTACTTTTACATTTTGATTAATACTAGGTCTAAGTTTAAACCTTTGCCTGGCATGACCAGACCTTGAGGTTACTTTGCCCATATATGAAGTATAGAGGTCGTTCAATAGACTTTGAGCTACAAGAAACACGCTAATTAATTAGCGTCGGCTACAAAAGTCGGTGCAGTAACATAAGATCATTGTACATCAGTTTGGATCCTAAGAACTGAAATAATGAGTTTAAGTTGTATAAACCATAACTTGACGCAAATAAAAATATTGTTTAGAGTACCAAAATAACACTAAATGATATTATCTAATGGTATTTTAGGTTGTCTGTTAAATGTTTGGTTTCTCAAATCAGTCCTGACACAAAACATCCAAACTGAGTATGGAATCACAGTAAGATTTTGTATTACGATTTCCAGTCTTTTGCTCGCCAAAAATCATCTACAAAGGGTAGTTAAGATTAGGTTTTCCTAATTTACCTTGTAGCTAGCATCTTTCAAACCAGTGAGATTAGATTTTCCTAATTTACCTTGTTGATCGCATCTTTCAAACCAGGACTCTACCCTATGTGTTCTTTTTTCTTTAGTTGTATACTATGTATTTGTATAGATAATTTTAAATATTTTTTTAAAAATTTAAATATATTAAATTTGAATTATTTTTATTTTTATTTTTATTTTGAATTTTAAATTTTATTTGTATAAAATAATTAAATTTTTTTGGATACGTTGAAAGTCCCACATCGCCTACCTCATGTTATTTGGTATGATTTAAATACATGTTAGGCTACTCCACATATTGACGATTGGTTTTATGTTGGAACCTTAACATAGTATCAGAGCCAAAACCTAACATCTTTCTGATTATTGTCATGGGCCAAAAGTTGCCCTTTAGTTGGGTCAAAAGTACCTGTTGAAAGTCTCACATCGCCTACCTCATATCATTTGATATGATTTAAATACATGTTAGACTACTCCACATATTGTCAATTGGTTTTATGTTGGAACCTTAACAGGATATAATATGTTAACGGTCATTAAATAATAAAATTGTTTTAAAATTAAAATAAAATTTAATAATTTAAAAAAGCAGCAGATGATGTTTTTCAATAATGTTGATAATGTTATTTTTTTGTCTAAATATTTCATACTTTTACACCTTAGATCAATTAAAATTTGTCTTAATTGAAATTTATTGTGGTTACTTTTAGTTTATGCCAATTACAACTATTTCAACTTATATTAATCATAGTTATATTTTGTATTTTGTTGGTAAGAAGGTTTTTTATCAATTTTTTTTATCAATGGTTTATAAAATTTTACCCTAGGTGAATTAGTCAAAACAATCCTAGATAAGGATGAACAAAAGTTTTTCCACTCCATAGTGAAAAAAAAATTATAATGTGGAAATCCTGTTTAACATCAATTGAAAAAAAAAAAAAAAAGTTAAGCCAATGATGTGCTAAACTCGACCAAGTTTATCTCATACCGATCACAACAAGTTGATCAAGAAAAAAAAAGTACGAAGATAAATAATATAAATGTGATCGTATAAAGTATTTCAAACTCTTTCATTTTTAAATAATTAAATTACTCTCGATTAAAATTTAAATTTTTTAAGTATTTCAAACTCTTTATTTTTTAGAGTTTTAGGTTCTTTTAAAATTTCTTAACAAATAAAATATTTAAAACTCTCTAAAATAAATTATACTAGAGTTACTTTCATCTTACCAGAAATCAACTTCAAAAGGTTTCTGTAGTTAATTTCAACCCTTAAATTGAATGGTAGAGTTTAGGTTTCACTAAACCACCTCAAGACACAAGTTTCAAATTGGTACTCCGTTAGTATAGTTTTCCTATAATTTGCTAAAGCCGAAACTAACATGCTCGCCAAAAATTAGCTCCAGAAAATTAATGTATCTCGATTTAATTTTTGATTGGCACAAAGAACGACTCTAAGTTGTTGGGTGGTGATGCATGATCTCATGGAAGATTTAGATGAATTCCAAGGTGTTTAGAAGAATTCAAAACTTGACTAATGTTCATTTTTGAATAAGGAATATGACTGAGGGCCTATGTAGAAAAATAACATAACTAAAATTTTATGTTGAGCAGCTTTCATTTTTTACAAGAGCTTATCTTATTAGATGTAACATGTCAATAAGCATTTTGTGTTTTAAATTCATTGTCCTTTGATCAAATGTCAATTGGAAGTCACATGTAGTACAATTATAGTTTATAATATAAATTTGAATTTTATCTTTGAACGTGAACAAATTAAGTCATCTGTCTGTAAAAAAATATATTTTCACCACAACTTATTGTATTATGTTGTTTACTATTTTCATTTTTAATTTTATTTTAACTTATATAAATCAGATTTTCAAGCTATATATGATCATGGTTCGCTTGAAAGAGATTTACTCCAGAATTTGCGCAAAACTTTTAGTTCATGATGCAAAGTCTACAAATCAAAGCAGTACTCTTGATGCATGATAAGAAAAGATTAACAATTGCGTGGTTTATCATTAAGATTAACTTATCATTTAATAATTCAACATGTTTACGAAGAAAATTATTCTAGCCAGCATTATAATTTCTGTAAAGAATCTGATGAAACCTTTGCTTTCATTTGTTTGATCTTACCTATAGTAAAAGTGGCTCAAGAATAATATTATCTTTTGCCAAACGATCGAACAAATATCTTCTATGAATTCATTTTAAATTATTGATGTTCCTTTATCCTAGAGAATATTAAATGAAAACCAAAGATATATAAATCCAAAAATAGTGCACTCCAATGTCAAGAACAAAGGAATACATGTCTCTTTCCAAATATGCCTGTTTCTGACGTGACCCTATACATCAAAGGTGGGTAGTTGCATGAGATATATATTCTCCTTTCACCATCTATAAAATGAGGGTTGGGATCGTAGCATACGTGAAGGCAAAGAAGAGAGATAAACTTGTGAGAAAAAGAAGGTAACAAGATCGTTGATTTCCTCGACCATGTCTGGTTTCTTTAGCACGCTCTTTGGTTGGGATGGAAACAATGGCACAGAGGATGCCTTTAAAAACTCAGGAGGAGGACAAGACTTCAAGGAAGGGGAGTTCAACACTGGTGTACGAGTTGCCAAGGGGAGAAGTGCACCTTCCGGTGGTAACAATGGCACTAAAAGTGCTTTCAACAACTCAGGTTCAGGAAAACAGGATTTTGGAAAAGCCAAGTTTAACACTGGTGCTAGGTACGAGTGATTCACCAGCTCTCACTCTGAATGGCTATTATATGCTTAATCATGTAGTATAATGTTATGGGAATAAGAAACACAAAGTGCTCATTTTGTGGGCCTTTGTGTCAGGTGTGTATCTATGATCATATATGGTAATAGTATCATGATACTGGAGCTAGAGCCCTCTCTAGTTTGTACTGTAATACCATGAATGAAAGTGTTCGAATGTATGCTCTATGTCATCTTATTACATCACTATATTTACGAGTTTGTTAATACTCAAAGAATAAAAATATAATATATTGAATACAGTTACTAGTACAATTGTCAAATAGGATAAAAAAACAGGTCCTAATATATTTTTGGTCTCATTAAAAGTTTTAAAAAATTATTCAATAATTTAATAAAAAAATGAAAATAAAATTATATTTTAAAATTTAATTTAAAATTTTAATTTATTTAATCAAATGAAATATTATTATAGATATAATAATATTATATAAAGAGAGGTTGGATCATTTACTCATAAAATAAGAGTTAAAACCTTATATTTAATCTCACCATTCATTTTCTTCTCAACCATTGTATCACATGAAAATGAAGAATAACTCTAACTTAAGATCATTTAGAAAGTTAAATGAGTTGGACAAAACCGGGAAACTTGAATGACTAAGAAGTAGTTGCAAGGTTGTGGAGAGAATAAAGAAATTAGAGGTTAGAGATGCCTTCAATAATAAAAGTGGTGACCTTTTGTTATATGAACTTCATATATGGAGCAAAATGTTCAACAACTTACATGCTTACTCTACTTCTACTCAAATTCTAGTAGTTGACTAAATAAAGTAAATACGTGAAACTACTTAGAAATTAAATGTTGAACTTACGACAAATGATACTAAGCAGAGGATACTTAAAAAAATGATGAAACAATCGATGATCAATAGACTGGGCACATATGTGAACAAAACTAGTGAATATAACTTATTTTACAACATTTCCAAGTCAAGAATCTTATTTGAGGACCTGGTATGTCTATACAAGTAAAGATGACATATCAAACCATGGTGATGATACATGAGAGGACTTTAGTGGGATGTTTAATATGACTTGAAATATTGAATATATTTTCTTATAATTATTTTAATATATTTTATTAATTGCATTGAATTATGATTTACTTAATTGTACCTTTACTGTATTATGTACAGTGACTTACTATTATTTATTATGCTTCAAATTTTTTAGTAACTATAAATAGATCAAAATATTTAAAATAATAAACTAATAAAATTAATATTATTGGTTAGAAAATAATAACGAAGAGTGTAAATAAATATACTTTTTAAATAAATAAGATATTTATTGACTGAAATTATTTATCACTTATAATTTCAAGTTTCATCACCGAAATATTAACTGAAATTTAACAAAATTTATAGTTATTATATTGAATATTTTGGGCAACAAAACATTTAATGACCAAATAAAGACTGAAACAATAGTGACTATTTTAGCTACTAAAATAAATATAAATAACTAATGCTTTTGTTACTTTTGCAATCATGTCAAATGGGTCACTAGACTGCTTATCCAATTAGCCACGGACTTTATTGTTTTCTGATCAAAAGTAGTGGTCACAATTTTTTTTAATGTATGGCCTAATTCTCTTTTAAATGCTGTGGTTCTGTTGTGACCCAAAATAAACCCAAAAACTAATGCTCAAGTCCAAAAGTTTACAAGCCCATTCATAAGAATCATGGTGATGGGTTGGATTTATTATGTTCATGGTAATTGTTCTAAAAACATTAGTCTTAATAATATTTTAGTTGCATGCATTTATCAACTCCTATTTAAACTTATGTCTATTTTAAAATTCAAATGAACAAATTTTGAATATTTTGTTAAGTTAATATTTCAGTAGGTAATTGCATCTAAAGTTTAGAAAATTAATTCAGAATGTCAGACTTGACATACATCTTTTAAAGTCTAACACTTAACAAATTTAATTAAAAAAAACTTCTCACATATCTTAATCTGATTTTCTTAATAAAAAAACCAGGTACGAATTTTAGCAAGTTTTATCTTCTCGTTGTCTAAAATAATTTTTACGAAAATTTTTATATATTTATTATCTCTTCGTTTAACTAAACTATTGACGATTTTCTTTTATTTAGATTTTTTTTATACAATGATTTTTATATGATAATTTATCAATAAAGAAATAATAAGTTAAATATAAAACATGGAGATCAATATTTTCTTTCTATGAAAGCTAGTAGAGGAGAATTTACAGTTACACTCATGGAGGTAAACAATTTATCTAAAACTATGTAGGCTAAATTACACATTATAATTTAATGCTATAATTATTTTAATATATATAATTTTGTTCTTTCTTACTCTCCTCTAACATGATTTATTTAGTAATGTTTAATTTTATCTAACAGAAAACATGAATAAAATATAAGAAACAGGGATGAACATTTTCGGTAATATAATAAAGATAATTGTGTACTTAATTTCTATGATGAATAATTTATCTTAAATTGCATAAACATTTGGATAAATTACCAGAAATTATGTTCTATCATAACTTAAACACTTTTTAATTTATTATTAAATTATAAATTTATTGTTATAACAAAAATACCAGGATGAACCTGGTAGTGAAAGATTCAACACATGCATGTTAAATTTGATTTAGGTTTGTTTTAAATTTTTTTAAAAATAAGTTAAAAAAATTATCTTATAATTGTAATTTTAAAAAATATTTTAAATAAAAGACATTAACGACGAACAATAGTTATAGTGAAATGAAGAATAATTTTAATAATTTCATGATTATAATTTTGGTGAAATATAAATATTATTAATCACACCAAAAATTTAGATTTATTTATTCTTAAAATCTAAAACAAATTTTGAAAATTATATTAACAAAATAATTATCAAACTAGTTTTAAATTTTTAAAAACTATAAAACTGAAAATTATTTAAAAAAAATACACAAAAAAGTTCTTTAAGTTCAATTGTTATTACCAGTAAAAAAAAACACTAATTTTTCCCTTTTGTTATTTAATTAAATTTTATTTCTTTTAAGAAATTAGTCTAGATTCAATTAAATGCTGAAAAGTAAAACCCACCTTTAAATTACACTATTGTTAAATTTAATTCTTTATTAGGAGAACGGGATTTATTCTAATTGAAAATTTAGATTTACTACTTTAGAAGTTGGTAGTCTTTCTAATTAATACAAATTAGCAATCTAAAAAAAAATAGCACTATAATAATAAAATTTCTTATATCTTTCCGTCAATTATATGCTAACATTCCTATATTATATTAAAAGAAAAGAAAATACAAAGTTGGGGTTCACTACATATGTATAAAAGTCACAAAAAATGCAAGAGAACATATTTTCCCATCAAAAAAATTTCTGTAGTTTTAACCTCAGAAACAAAGAAATATCAACACATTTATTATCTTATATATATATCCTTAAGTTCATGAGTTTCAAAAACTCCACACAACACAATTTACAAAACAATTCCTCAACCTCTCAGGAATAAGATCATTATAATCAAATGTTTTTGTCACTGTAAGTCACACTCCAATCACAAATATATCCGCATATAATTGATAAATAAGCTCAATAACAAATAGTTTCCATAACTTCAGCTTCAAAAGTGAACCAACTTGAGAGAACTAAAATGTCTATATTTTCAGTTTTATATGATTGTCCACATGCTGAATGCTCAAAGACCTCATGCATATATATACTCCACCTGTGTTATACTATATATTTTCACAATCTAATAGAATTCAATTAACCTAGCTATGAAATACTAACATTTTTTTCTAGGCATGTAGGAAACAACAAAGGATTTAATAGTTTTAAATTCTTTTATTGTAGGAGACATATTACCCTTACATCAGATTTTAGTAAGATTGGATTTGAAGTAAGAATGTCTTTGATTATCAAACTTAATATTATTCATGTTGCTTCATGTTTCAAAAATAATGGGTGAATTTGTCTAAGTTTAGAATAGAATGCTTATTTTTGTAGAATATAAAAAAAATTTAATAACAAAACTAAAAAATTGCTTAAAATTTTACTAATATATTAAAAATGTTATATAATTGAATGAAATTTTAATAATAAAAATTAAAATAATTCAATTTTAAAAGTTGATGGACCAACTATATAATTAAATTTTTAGAAAGAGTAAAATTTTACATTTGTACGAATTAGTTTCCTTTATCCATGCACTTTCGTTAGCCTATGAATTGTTTTCAAAAGAATAAACTGTTTCAATAATATAAACCGTGGTGCCATTTTAAGATTTAACAATTGAACAAACAATTACTTTACATTTGTTTCACATAGTGGACCGATTAAAAAAACAAAAAAAACCAATAAAAATTATAAAATATTTAGAAAATAATTGTTTTTAATCATGATTATACTAATTAAAGTGTTTCCCGTACAAAATGAAAGGCGAAAGAAGACAAATATGCCCATTATTAAAAATTGTCCTTTTTTTTTGCTGTGTAATAATGAAACTAATTACTAGCCCGTAATTCAAAATTCGTTTTTTTTTAAGTATTTATCAATTCAAATTTTGATGAGCATTTAAAAATAAAAGAGCATTAGTTTTATAATAATAATAATAATAATAATAATAATAATAATAATAATGATGGAAACTATGGATGGAGTATTGTAATATAAGAATTGATTAAAGAGAAAGATGCAGTTAATATGTGTGGGGGCATGTTGTGTCAGTAGTGCAATCAAAATTTGAAACGAGTGGCCTTAGTTTGTGAAGAATAACTTTTTCCAGACCTTGGACAAATATCATAGGAAAGTAAAGGGATGTTTCGAGGAAATTGCAGGTACATGTCACAATGCAACAACATAAAGAATTCAGAATCCACGCTCGTAGTGGCCGACAGTGTACGATGGTACTTTCTATTATTCGCAGTTAGTATTGTTCTAGTTCACACGGCAAGCTAGGCTGAGTAGACTCTTTTTGAATTCTAGCACTTTCTTGTCCCACTTTGTTTCCACATGGAAGCTTCATTTTCAACTCTTCGTTTTCTCTTATTTTTATATTTTTAATAAATAATACTTCTTATATTTTTAATAAAGTAGTATATTATTTTATTTTATTTAACAACACTATACTAACTAAAACTAAAAGAAAATAT